ATTCTTTGGCATGAAGAGGGGTGTAAGCGAGAAATTTACATCTTGGCAATGGAACAGCTGGAGGTTTCCATTCAACAGACTTGCTGTGGCCTGAACCTCAACTGGAGATGATTTTCAAAAAGAGGAAAATGACAAAGAAGTGAGACTATAGGACACAAATTCTCTCTCCCTTCTTTACTCACCGCAAAAAAATGCTTGAAAGACAAATGAAGCATCATTGGATGGGAAAGTGATACTGGCTGAAAGATTCAGCCAGTAAGACTGTTAGAACATATGGTGAGAGCAATCCTTTGCTTCAAGTTCACTTAGCTTGTTAAGTTAGGTGTTAGTTTGCATTTTACCTTTTATTTCTTTGTAACCAATTCTGAATTTTATGCCTCATTACTTGTAATCACTTTAAATCCATCTGTATTTAATAAACTTGTTTTGTTTTTATCTAAACTAGTGCGTGTTTGAATTGAATTACTTAAGGAACTCCATTTCAGATAACAGGGGTTGTGCATATCATTTTCTATTAATGAAATGACACTTTCTATAAGCTTGTATTGTCCAAAAGGAAAGAGCTGGGCAGTACAAGATGCATATTTCTGGGGACAAGCCTGAGGCTGGAAATTTGCTGGTGTCATTCTGCAATATAATTCAGCAGTGGCTTGCTAAGAGCTCTCTTATACTCACCTGGGAGTAATTTACATGCTGGATGCTGTGGGTGAGCAGGCCAGGAGTGGCTGCTCTGACAGCAATGCAGTGTATAAAGCACTCCAGGTTGGAGAATTGAGGGGACACAGCTGTTCAACAGTCCAGATTGTATCCTGTGTTATGTCACACAGGTCAGTAAGCCTAACTTCAGTACCAGAGAAATTGGTTGAAACTATTCTACAGAACAGACTATCAGACACGTAGATGGACCCTTTTTGTTGTGAGAAGAGTCAACAGAGCTTTTGTAAAGGGAAGTCATGCCTCACCCATCAATTAGAATTCTTTGAGGATGTCAACAAGCACATAGATAAGGGTGATCCAGTTGATACATAATAGTTGGATTTTCAGAAAGCATTTGACAAGGTCCTGTACCAAAGTGTCTTAAGGAAACTAATTAGTCATGGTATAACGGGAGGTCCTTTCGTGGATCAGTAAATGGATTTAAAAGAAGTTAAAAGAAAGGAAACAGAGTAGGAATAAATGGTCAGTTTTCAAAATGGAGGGAGGTCAACAGAAGAGTCCCCCAAGGATCTGTACTGTGCTGTTCAATATATTCATTAATAAGCTGGAAAAGGGAGTGAACAGTGAAATGACAAAGTTTGCAGATGATACAAAATTATTCAAGATGTTAAGTCCAAAGCCAACTGCAAAGAGTTATAGGCAGAGCCGGATTAACTCTCCTGTGGATCCGGGGCTATTAGATTTTGTGGGTCCCCTGTATACAAGTCTTTTTCCTAATTTAAAACAAAATGATTACAATTATGGCATCAAGGCTATTAACGCTATACTAAACTTGCCTTTTAATTAACACAAAGCCATTCTGTGGTTACATTTTAGTCTTAAAACATGTAGAATATACACCTCTACCCCGATACAATGCTGTCCTTGGGAGCCAAAAAAATCTTACCGTGTCTTATAGGTGAAACCGTGTTCTATCGAACTTGCTTTGATCCGCCGGAGTGTGCAGCCCCCTCCCCCCCCGGAGCACTACTTTACCGCATTATATCTGAATTCGTGTTACATTGGGGTAGAGGTATAGTTAATTCAAAATAGCCTACTTCTTTCCTTAGAACAGCTGTTATATTTGTTTCTTTCTGGGAGGAAGTTTGGGTGCAGTTCCCAGCCAATGGGAGCTGTGGGGGCAGGGGCAGCGTGCGGAGACATGCCAGCAGCCGGCCGCTTCCAGGAGTGGCGTGGGGCCACAGCATGCAGATAGCCTGCCTGAGCCCTGCTCGCCAGGCCCCTTTAGCCTGGGGCGCTGGACTGCAGCCCCTGCATTAATCCGGCCCTGGTTACAGGGGGATCTCACAAAATAGATGAAATTCAGTGTTGATAAATTCAAAATAATGCACATTAGAAAAATATAATCCCAACTATACATGCAGAGATGACTGGTACCAGCTGAGTGGGGAGGCACAATTTAATGGTCCCCCTCTCCCCTGAACAGCTTGAATCTCTCCCCCAACCCCCAGGCACACATACCCCTCTTTTCCTCAATGCCCTCTCCCTGCAACTCCCAGCTGTTTGCTGCTGCCTTTCCCTGTGGCCACAGCTTGCAGCTCGCCAGCTCCAGGAGCTGCTGCACAGGGAGGCGGCCCAGCCAGAAAACCTTGGCAGAAATCTGGGGGAGGGGGACACACATGACCATGAGTGCTCCCCCCCCCGTGTTTCCTCTGTATATATACAAAATGAGGGGTTCTAAATTAACCATTACCACTCAGGCTAGAGATCTCAGAGTCACCATGGATACTCAGTCTCTAAAAACATCAGCTCAATGTGCAGCAATGGTCAAAAAGGCTAACAATGTTAGGAACTATTAGGAAAGGAGTAGAAAATGTGACAGAAAATATCATGCCACTATATAAATGCATGATATGCCCACACCTTGAATAGTGTTCAGTTGTGATTGCCCTATCTCAAAAAGGATATAGTGGAACTGGAAAAGGTTCAGAGAAGGGCAACAAAGAGGATCAAAGGTATTGAATGGTTTCCATACAAGGAGAGACTAAAAAGGTCAGTACTGTTCATCTTAGAAAAGTGACAACTACGGAGGGATATGGTAGAGATCTATAAAATCACCAGTGGTGGGGAAAAAGTGAGTAAGGAAGTGTTATTTACCCATTCCCACAATACAAAAAATGGGGTCACCCTATGTAATTAATAGGTAGAAGGTTTAATACAAACAAGTGGAAGTACTTTTTCACCGTGCACAATTAACTTGTGAAACTCATTCCCATGGGATGTGATGGCCAAACGTGGAACAGTTCAAATAAGAACTAGATAAGTTCATGGAGGATAGGTCCATTAATAGCTATTAGCCAAGACGGTCAGGGATGCAACCCCATGCTTGGGACAACCCTAAACCTCTGACTGACAGAACCTGGACGGGGAAGATGGGAGGATCGCTCCAGTTGTCCTTTTCTGTACAAGTCTACTGAAGCTCTGGTTCTGGCCACTGGATATTGGGCTAGCTGGAACATTGGTTTGACCCAGTATAGTAGTTCTTATGTTAATATGTATTAATTTTAAAAGTTTAAGATTTGAGACATTTCAGTCTATGAGATGAGGTGAAGTTTGATATAGTCCATAATTTTATTGCTAAAACTCCAAAAACATTTTCTAATGACCCTGTGAAAATTCTTCAGTTCAAACCTCATGTGTGTGACAAAAACTGTCCCTAATTGAAAGGCCTGTAGTTGACCTGTCTTGGTTCAAAACTACTTTAGAACAATGTCGGGCAAAAATAATGTGCAAATTCAAATCTCAAGGAAATAAATCACCATAGAATAAATAAATTATAAACTAATGTCTCAAACATTTTATGGTAGTCATACATATGAACATTTTTTAAAAAGTGCATCATTAGGTTTAAAATTTTTATTGTGCTGCCAAGAGCCAAATTACAAGAAACCGCCTTACAGTTAAAAAAAGTAAACAAGCCATCTGCTGAACTGCAGTGCACTCCGAGTGTCACATATGCGTCTATTTTATTTTTCAGAAAATTATATCTGCATTTCTCTTACAAGAGCACAACAGGAACCAAAGTAAAAGAGTGTAATGGATACAGCACATAGGATAAATCATATCTTTAAAATAATAATAAAATAATAAAAAACATTTTACACCATGTCCTATATCCTGCTAATATTTTCAGAATATGGCCTTGATTGTAAAACAAAAGCAAGCTTTTACAATTTCTGGATAAAGACTGCTTACTCTTATGCAAGGAATGGATGATTTGTCTTGACAGAATCTTTGTAATTGGACAGAAACATATCTGTTTCAATATCATATTGAGTACAAAATGCTGGGAGGACTACATTTTTTCTTGTTTTTGGAAACTGAAGTCATATATAAATAGAAAAAATGTTGACCCTTAATGATACACCTATTTTTTTCTTTGATGCAAACAGCTAGAACACCTTTCTGATATTCTAAAACAAAAAATTGTTAATCTTCAGATTAATAAATTAGGTCATTATAATAATAAATTAGGTTTTTTTTTCAGTTTTAAAGTTCAGCAACCTCTGACCAAGTATTTACAACAATACTTGAGAGTTCCTTTACAAAAAAATACATTTTCTTTTCACATTAAGCATACTGGGTATCTGTGTCTTTTATGACAAGCATTTGTAAAAGAAAAAAAGGCAATGCACAAATGGGTAATTAGTATAAAAGTGCCAAGACCTGTCTGGAAAGTTAACTTTGTATTACACAGTCAGAGTTATCAATGAGGCAAGCTACAACAAACTTCCAGCTTAACGTGGACAATATTCCAGTAGTTGTTTCAAACAATTGTTTGAATTAAAAAAAAAAAAAATCAAGGAGCGGATGGTGTTATTCTACGGAGCTGATTAGTGCTGCATGTATATTGCCATCAGTGTCTCTAGCTGATGCATTCATTAAAAGCCTTTTTAAGGCTAAGCAGGAGAAGAAAAATAAGAAACACCCTGAAATGTAGCAAGTAGCAAGAGCAACGCTTACTGCTATAATCGTGCACATACCATACACACACATATACGCAAACACAAGAGTGTACACACGTACATACACGCATACATGCACGCGCGCACACACACAAACACTTTCAAATCAAATAAAACGGTAGGTAGAATGAGATGCTCCTCTTGTCTCTCCTAAACTCACAAGCAATTAAGCACTGCTATGGAATGCCTGTTTTATCTGTTTCTGCTCTGGGTAAAATCTCTCAGATAAAAATACATTCAACAAGAAAAAAATAGAAAATTATATATATACTGTATATATACAGATTGATACCATATATATACTGTACATATACATATACATATATAGTGTGTTTGTGTGTATGCACACACACACACACTATATATATGCACATATATACACACAGACATACAAATACTTTGTTGTTTTTAGCATAATTATATTTACATAAATATTCCTATAATGCTAATGTTTAAAGAAGCATGATCTCCTTTTTTCTGAGCTTCAAAAAAGGTGCTTGAGTAATATACAATTAAAATTAAGTAGCTTCCTAGCACGGAAGTAGTTTCTAATCTGCATAACCAGTAAATAAGAACAACAGGAAAAACCTTAAAACAGTCTCTTTTTTACTCTTTCATTTAAGCAAGAGCTTTGTCCAACAAAAATATTTTTTCCTCCTCCTCCACTAAAACTGTCTGAACAACCAGAGATTAATACAAAACAACAAAACAAAAACACAACACACAAAAGCCCCTGGAACTGCATGGTGTTCTTGACTTTCGCTTCCTTCCTTCAATACTGCCGTCAAAAGATCCAGTGCTCATATCAGGAATTATTTAGGCCTCAGTCATTTGCTAACTCTGCCAAAATCTGGCCAATCAGCTTTGCAGAAAACAAAATTAAAACAAAAAGCAGCACAAGGTATAATTTTATACATCCTTAATAAACCCACCCTTTATATTCTGCTATAACCTTTTCCTTGCTATATCATTAACTACTGCAGCTTCTTGTCATATAGAAAAATATATGCAGCTACACCATACCTGTGACATGACAGGTTCTGTTCTAGGAGTATACTTTCGTAGCAACAGCTGGGAAAAAAATCAGACCTCTTTGTTTTCTGTTTCCATGTGGGGTTAGGCTTTGCTGCAACAAATGCAGTTTCAGAGCAACAAGAAAAGCCACCATCCTGATGCTTGGCAATATTCTTTATTTGTTTTCTCCCCGAGCCAAGCTTGACCAGCTTTTCTTCTTTGAAGCTCTCTCTCATTTCACCACCCAACCCCAAATTCACCCACCCAAACAATCTCTATAGCTATGTTACAAGCAAATACATCTTAACAAGTTTTAAAACTTTGGTTCTAAGAAAACTCTTGGTCAGTTATCGCAAGGAAAAGTGGGAATGCTTGTTCCGGCACATTGCAGGAGTCAGAGCCCATCCCAGTAAGGTCTTAGAGCTGTACATGAAGTCACAAATCCAATACAATCCACTAAGCAAGTGCACAATTCTAGTTTTATTTTAATAGCAGACTTAGTCTCTTGCTCTCCTCCTTTCTCAAATCCTTGGCAAAGGTGCAATTCTTCAAACTGTTTGATAGAAATTATCTGCCTGTAGGTTGTTCTGTTTTTGCATGCTGTAGAATCCACTGTATCTTGAATCTGGGTCAGCAATTCTTAGCATTCTCTGAGAACTGTCCACCTGGACCATGGTTCCTTTCTTGCAGTCCACGTATACCAGCTGATTGTTTAGGCAAGAAGGCTGTTGGAAAAGAAAAAAAGACAACATAAAAATCCAGTTCATACATCACTGTTGTCTTCTCTCCACAATAGGTATGGGAAATGGTTGTGACGCAAAGTTCACAAAAACAAAATCACACTAAACTATTTATTTTTCTTTGTTACAAAGGTTCAACTTTTGCAGTCCTTGCTAAGTCAAGACTCCCATGGACTGAGTAAGAGCTGAGTAAGGACTGTAATATTTGGGCCACAGGTATATAATTGCATAGGACTAGAAGCTGGCAAATGAACCCTTTTCATCTGGAAAGATTTGATGACAACTCTGCTACTTTTACTATACATATTATAAAGCATTTTACATTCTACATGTAATGAAAACTTTATAATTTCAGGCTGGATTGTGCCTGTTAGATACAATACAGCTTATAAATTACTATGGAACTATGACTCTTGGGGGGAGCACTGGTATTCTGCTTCCTAGAATTCTCTGATAGGCAAAGGCAGCACATCTGCTATTATATTACCACCCTTTACAAAGTCCAGTCTTCCTCCTACACGTCTCTTGCTCTGTGGGCAAGAGAGGATTAGGGATGGCGCAGTCTCTGTGCTCACTTGAAATTTGCAAAACTATACACTAATTTGGGGTTCTTCAGTGATTGGGTGCCCAATTTGAGACAGTTAGTACTTGATTCTTCAAAGGTGCTGAGAACCCACAGTTTCAATGACTTCATCTGGATTTGAGAGACAAGGTGGGTGAGGTAACATCTTTTATTGGACCAACTTCTGTTGGTGAGACCAGCTTTCACGCCACATAGAGCTCTTCTTCAGGTCTGGAAAAGGAATTCCCAGCATCACAGCAAAATGCAAGGTGGAACAGATAATTTAGCATAAGTAGTTAGCACATATTGCAAGGACCCATTCAAGGTAGACTGGGATCCATTAACACCTCTGTAGTCATAGTGCAAAAAGAGGGGGTTAGTGGTTTACAGATTGTTGTAATAAGCCATATATCCAGTGTTTCTGTTCCCTCCATGATTTTTGGTATCTAGCAGAGTACACTACACTATAACTGCACTGCATTCATCTGGATTTGTTAATGGTCAGCACTCCTGAAAATTAAGCCATGTTCATTCATCTCAAGTTGGGCATCCAAAAATAAAGAACATACAATCAGCGAGTGCCTCTGAAAAATTTAAAATGACTTGTCCAACACCATATAGTAAGTCTGTGACCAAGCCAGGGATAGAATTACTCTCTCCTGGGTCCCCTCCAATGCCTTAATCATAAGACCATCCTTTCTGTACCTGCAGTTCCTCCTCTCATTTACTATACAACTTCTAGCTTCTGCACTGAATCAGGGGTCCTACAGACAACTGCCTCTTTCATTACACATCCTGCCTCATTCACTGTTTAATCTGTGCACTGAATGAGGCAGGAGTCCTGTGGAAAAAATAATATGTGATCATGTAATTAGACTAACATAATGCACATGTACAAGGGGGATAGAGTTAAGGTTGCACAGTCTCTCTCTTGGAGGATCTAAATCATAAAGGGATTTATTGATCAATGATTTGTATTCAGTAATCCGGGCCTACTCATATCAAATCATCTTTTCTTTTCCTGATGTACCTCCAATAGTCCTTAAATGATTTAAAAAAAAAATCTTTCCTAATTTATGCCCTGTTCCTGCAAAAGGATCTGCTTGAACAGACACTTATGCCTGTGCTGAGTCCCATTAACTTTTGCAGGACTCAGTGTTGGTCTGAAGGTCCAGTCCACAGATCATTTTGTAGGATCAGGGCCATAAATATTACACTTCTCTGTAAAGCCTCTTTTTACAACCTTTAATTTCTATATTGGAATGACAGCAAACTCACTCTTGTCCTATCACACTTAGTACTGTACTACTTTGGCATTAAAAAGACTTAAAAATAGCAGCTCACCTACCTGATTCCCTACTCTTATATTATACAGATGGATGTAACTCATCACTACCTGGTGCTTCGTCTTTAATAAGATAAAAAGCCTGGTGGATAAATGAAGTGTAGTGGTCATAGTGCTTCTTAATTTTGGTAAGGTCTTTGATACAGTTCCGCATGACTTTCTCATAAATTAGATAAGAGAATTCTGGATTAGATGAAACAACTTAACTCATGATGTGTAGTAGAGAGAAGTTTGCCAAGTCAGATAAATGTTGGAGATCCTACAACATTTACCAGACCTGAAAGCTATTTACAGTGGATCTAATACTCTTAACCACACATAATTGCTGTTACTCATGAAAAATATTAGAAAAAGATGTTGTTTTACTAGTGATGCTTAGACCACTACCAAATAAATCTACAAATAGGTTGTCACAGAAAATCAATTTGATATTTTAATGTATAAAGACAGATTTACATTATCTGGCACTGATTTATACTAGTAATACCAGGTCATTAACTTCCCTGTCAAGATAGATAGTTGCCACTTCTTTCAATATGTAGGAATAAAATTGTTGGTAAGATTAATTTGTACAGTTCCCATTTCATCTATTAACGGCAAAAATCTTCCCAAATGTTTAGATCTTTGGGATTTTGGAATGACTTCACATAATTTGCCTTATATGAATCAATTCCCCCCCCCCCCCCAATTGGAGGTAATATAAGCCTTTTTGGTTACAGTTAAATATGTCCATTTATCTATATTATTTTGGATCATTACAGTTAGCATCAGGGCTTCTGTTCTGGTGGTGTGAACTGTATCCTAATATTAAGCAGTAATGTTTTATTTTTTTTAAGTTATTCTGCTATAGATTTGTTTGCTTTGGATGTAAAGTAAAATGTCATCACTTGTTTAGGATGAAATTTTATGGCTGACATTTCCTTCTGTTTTTGTTTTCTCTCATACAAGCTGCCAATAGTTCAAATGAGAGGCTTGTGGTTTCTAGCTGAAAACACTCCATGTTTGGGAAAAAACCCATCATGTTTATTGGATTTTGCAGAGATTCAGGGCTATGTGGCTGAAGTGACTAATGCACTGATGGCGAGACTTCAAAAAGAATAACAGATCAAAGGCTTGTGTCAGTCTCAGTGATCTGATTTGTTACTATTATAAAGGGCTTCCTAATTGAATTATTTCTAAGTATGATTTCCAATGTAGTTATACTGTGAGAATTATTCATCTGCTTTTCTTAAGAATGAGAAGCCACATACTCAATGTGTCCATGAAGCTAGGAAAATCCTGTCCCACACAGAATTGTAATGGGCACTGACTTATTGGAATACTAATGACCCAAAGAGACCTGGCTGCTCCAGACTGTCTATAAAGAAAGTTGTTATAAGGAATAGGAGAAATCTCAAGCACACAAATGATTGTAACCTTTCTAGACCAGAGACCTTATTTTCATTCCTGTATCATTTGAATTATATACGGAAACAATATAAATAAATGAATAAATGATAATTAAGAATGATTATGTAAGAGGAGAAGAGTGAGGATGGCAGGAAGGCTTGGGAATATGTACAACTGGACCCTGAGACATTTCCCAGTTGTTGAAACTTACTAGGAAGTATCCCCCCATCCAGCAGATAGAGGTACGAAAGAATTAGGGGTATCTGGAGGAAGTAACTGTCAAAAAAAAAAAAAGGTGAGGTATTGAATAAAATTTGACTATTTGCATATTCACAAGTCTTCAAAGGAGAACTAGCCCATAACTGTGAGAAAAACTGCACGCGTCTAAGCCAATGTGTCACACTATGCTGGTGCTAGAGATTGAAACAAAGATGCTTCTGTAACAAGATTGGATAAGGTAATACATTTTCCTAAATTTAGTTGCAATAGCAAAAACAAGGTTTCTGGTAGATTTCAACTACTTAGCAAATCTAGGGCCTGATCCGCCAAACCCTTATTCACACAAATAAACCTAGATATAGCCCTTCCAACTTAAGTGCCAGATTCTGAGACTTTTGCTATACTGAGTACCCCTTACTTCAAGAGTTGTCCCACTCAAGTCAGTAGGACCACTTGCAGAGTAAGGTTCTACTCATTGTGAGGAAAGGGTCAGAATATGTCCCTAAACAACTTTGATTTTTATTCTGTCACAACAATCCAAAAAGTAACGTTTTACAACATTTAGGGGACATCTCATGTGATATGAATGTAGAAAATTAGTAGAATAAAGATCTGTCATTGTCCCACTTATCTGCTTCTATGGTAAACTTAGAGAAGGTATAGCACAGCTGTTCCTACCCAAATTTCTCTGTGGGGCAAACCTATCCTTTTTTACAGGAATTTGGGCACTGGCTGTATGGTCTCTTCCTTAATCTGTTGCTACATCTGGCTGCGTGTTATGTACTCTTCCAGTAGGTGGTGCTACACTGTGTTTATACAAACTGCTTTGTAGCATGACAAGGAACATGCAGCTGCTGAGTGGGACACAGTGGTGGGACTACTGAGGAGCAAGAGGAGGGCCTGGTGGGAGTAACAAGAACAAACAACAGAAAGTAACACAAGAAAAATTACTAGAAAAGAAAAAAAAAGTGTAAGCACCACAGCAAGACAGAATGTGTGAGATATGACAAGCAGGTTGAGGGCATGGTTGTGATAGGTCCTAGAGACCCCAGGGACCAATACATGGGAGGAATTGGACTCAGACAAAAAAGGTTGGGAATTAATGGGCCCAGCAACATGTATTTTCTCAATATCAATTTATATGAATGATAAACTAAATGGAAATGGATAATTAGTTCTGGTAATGACTATATGGTAAATGTGTGTGACGAACTGGGTCTGTTCTTACTGTGGTCTGTGAGTGCTGACAGGGGAGTGTGGCTGGGATAGCCGGCATTGGGGGATGGGAGACTGACTGGAAATACCTGAGCCTGTAACATGAGAACCCAGGAGGGGGCTGGGACCAGGTGACACCTTTGCCCGGGAGACTGAACAAAGGCTGTGGGAGGGGTCGCTGAAGGGGGAGTGTGGGAAGCTGGCTGGTGAGGTGGCTGGAAGGCAGGGAGGGCTCTGACCCCAGGAGGTGGACTGGGGTGCCCAAGGACCCCAAGATGGACCCATCTGTGGGGGATCCTGTTGTCTGTGCCTGTAAGACCTGTCTTGGACTGCATTCCTGTCGTCTAAATAAACCTTCTGCTTTACTGGCTGGCTGAGAGTCATGGTGAATCGCAGGACGCCGGGGGTGCAGGGCCCTGAGTCCCCCCATACTCCGTGACAATGTGAAAGATGAAGGGTGACAAAAAAGGTGCTTTCGGGGATTGCTCTGACTGTAATTTCAATCAGCTAGTAAAAGTCTGTTCCTCTTACCTGGGTGCTGGTGAGATAACAAGCAGAAGTACTATTCAGGTTTTTATTATTATGGAAGCACTGTTCCACAGTTTTGTACTTAAAGCAGAGACTCAATCACGTAGACAGGAAGAATACATTGTAACCTCTCCAAAATTATTGACTTTGGGGGGCGGGGAGAAGAAAAAATGACTTTTCTGAGAATTTACAAATAAATCCATTTATTAGTTTATGAATTAAAATTAATTTTTAAAAGGGCCACTTAATAAATTTAGCACCTTTTTAAATCTCAAATGATCTTAATGGAATAATGCAGACTCTTCAAACCTGTCATATAATGAAAACTCTCTGAAAGTTTGTGCATTGGCTAAATTTGATGTTTTAAACAGTTTAGTGGCCATTTTTTGGCATTATCCTTCTTAACTGAAAGTTGCTTCTTCAGCAGTGATTAAAGACTAATATTCTTCTGCAGAAAGTTTCACCAGGAATTGCCCCTTTTCAAAATGTCTCATCTACTATTGTTCTCAATGAGACTGAGAAAACAAGCTGTCCTCAGTCAAGATAATGTTCTTGGTTTTGCTCCCAATGAGAACTATGAGAGAGTGTGGCCATTTTGGAAGAAGAGGCTGCCATGCTGATAGACCAGTTCAGGTTAGAGCAATAGGCCAGTTCACTTCTGTATGAATATCAAAGTAGTATTAGTATGCATTCAGACTAATTCGCTCATACGCTACTAGATATAAAAAGAGATGCTAATGTTAGTGTATTCACTTATCTGTAACTAATTGTCTGTTATTAAATTATATTTGCATTGCATATACCCCTGTAATTACGTTTACATTATGTATACCTTGGTAATTAAATAACCCTACATCAAAGGTGTGGTAAGAATGTACTTGATGTATAAACTTCATGAAAACTACTTAAGGATTGTTATTTGCTATTACATTACCTTTTACATTGTGCATCTCTCAGACTAAATTCATCAAATGTGAATGGAATCTTGGAAATGCTAATGAAGGACTTAATGGCTGTAACAGGAAATGCTCATTTCAAAGCAAGAGATGGTAGAGGAGTAAAGACACTTTTCACATTGCTTTCTCTATGGAAAAGCTATAAATATGAAGCAAAAAAAGGATACAGCATCTCTGAACTATTTGAGCATTCATAGGGAAACATTCCAGATGCAAAACAGAGATCCCCAAAGTTATTTTGGGTAACCCTGGGAAATTTATGGAAAACTAGCAGATTATAACATCTCTACTATCATTTTGGATTTACAAACTTAGATTCACCTGTTAATGTATTTTACCTGCTTTAGCCTCTCAATAACTCACTTCTTTTTCTTAGCTAATAAACCTTTAGTTAGTTTACAAGAACAATTGGCTGCCAGAGTTGTCTTTGATGTGAGACAGAGTATCCATTGACCTAGGGTAAATGACTGACCCTTTGGGGTTGGGAGTAGCCTGATGTGGTCTGATTTTTGGTTTTAATAACCTTTTATCACTAGGTTCAGTTTGCCTGGGTGGCAAGACAGGCTGCAGGGTCTCGGGGGACTGTCTGTGACTCCATGGCAATACTGGTATAGTGATCCCGGAGTGCACATTTGTTATTGGCTTGGTGAAATCTAATTATAGACTATACCACTAGTTTGGGGTGTCTGCCCGTGTTTTCCGACAGTCTCACCTGAGATTGGCTTGGTTTTACCTCCCGAAAATTCAGTAGTATATGGAGTAGGTAACTGGTGATATTAATTTGACATTACATAAGCATAATTGTTCTGAATTAGTGCAAACGGTTTGAGACATGGAAAAAATTCATTTAAATGAGTTGACATTAAATGGACTCAACTGTATCCTACAATACATTTCAGGAGACCCTCCTGCTTTCCAGAAAAGCAGAAATCTAGATATAGAAGTTTTAACACTGTACCTTTGTTGGGGCTCTGTAGCAGGACACTGGTATCCACTGCTTTTTCTGATTGACAAGCAGAAGGGCTATTATAAGAACCAGGGCTGTCATGATGGGAACCGTCACCCAGGCAACGGAGTTGAGAGATGTATCTTCACTGGAGTGCAGTCCAATGCCTTCTCTGAAATCTCCTTGAAGATGACTCATGTCTGAAAGAGTGAGCATTTGTTAGCCACAAAAAAATTTACGTGCTCCTTTTCTGTCTTGACCATAAACAAGAATAGGATTATGGAAGTACCAGCGTCAGTTCTATGGCCTTGTATTTATTTATTTTTTTTGGTTAACCATATCCTGAAATTTTACCCTATTGATATTTAGGGACAGGGTCACGCTTGTGTGTTCTCTCATTTGTTATTAGCCACAGTTTTTTGTAGCCAGAATAATGATTTCCGCATATTTTCAAGTAACTATTCCATATGAAGTGGATTTTTATCTTTTGGTGGTCCTATTAATACTATGTCATTCCACCAGTTGTGATTTATGAAGCCATCATTTTTCTATGATCATGTTTATTTATAGTAGATCTTTCACTGTCTTGTTTTCTCCTTTCAATGTGGTGGCTGTTCTCCAAGAGCTGATTCTTTTCTCAGCTTCTCCTATATGAGATTCCAGCTTAATTACCTATTTTTGATCATACTGTAAAAACTACCTCACAGTAGTGCTGTAACTATAAATACACTAAAGATTGCAAGGTGCTCTGGTTTTACAGTAATATGGAACATACATGTACATAAGACACAGATACTTATTTCTTCTAATATTATATCTGTTTTTCATTTCCCTTTTATATCTTTGAGGACCTGAGTTACAGTAAGCTCAGCACTTGTTCCTTGCAACACTTCAGTATCTTCAGGTTTCAGAGTGGTAGCCGTGTTAGTCTGTATCAGCAAAAACAACGAGGAATCCTTGTGGCACCTTAGAGACTAACAAATTTATTTGGGCATCAGCTTTCGTGGGCTAGAACCTACTTCATCAGATGCATGGAGTCCACTTCCTAGACACTACAGTGCTAATAAGCGATGGTCACACCACACAATCCATTGTCTACAGCCAAGCTCTAAGATAGAACCGTTTTTGCCCCGATCCCTCAGACAGAGACGAACACCTACAGGATCTCTATCAAGCATTCTTAAAACTACAATACCCACCTCATGAAGTGAAGAAACAGATTGACAGAGCCAGAAGGGTACCCAGAAGTCACCTACTACAAGACAGGCCCAACAAAGAAAGTAACAGAACACCACTAGCCGTCACATACAGCCCCCAACTAAAACCTCTCCAGCGCATCATCAAGGATCTACAACCTATCCTGAAGGACGATCCCTCACTCTCACAGACCTTGGGAGACAGGCCAGTCCTCACTTACAGACAGCCCCCAAACCTGAAGCAAATACTCACCAGCAACTACATACCACACAACAAAAACACCAACCCAGGAACCAAACCCTGCAACAAACCCCGTTGCCAACTCTGTCCACATATCTATTCAAGAGACACTATCATAGGACCTAACCACATCAGCCACACTATCAGGGGCTTGTTCACCGGCACATCTACCAATGTGATATATGCCATCATGTGCCAGCAATGCCCTTCTGCCATGTACATTGCCAAACAGGACAGTCTCTACGCAAAAGAATATATGGACACAAATCTGACATCAGGAATTATAAAATTCAAAAACCAGTAGGAGAACACTTCGATCTCCCTGGTCACTCAATAACAGACCTAAAAGTGGCAATTCTTCAACAAAAAAATTTCAAAAACAGACTCCAATGTGAAACTGCAGAACTGGAATTAATTTACAAACTGTACACCATCAAATTAGGCCTGAATAAAGACTGGGAGTGGTTGGGTCATTACAAAACCTAAACCTAATTTCCCCCATACTAATTTCCCCCTTCTGTTACTCACACTTTCTTGTCAACTGTTTGAAATGGGACACTCATTACCACTAAAAAAGTTATTTTTCCTCCCTTAGTATCCTACTGTTAATTCAATTGTCTCGTTAGATTGACCTCACACTTGGTAAGGCAACTTCCATCTTTTCATGTATTTATACCTGCTCCTGTATTTTCCACTCCATGCATCTGATGAAGTGGGTTCTAGCCCATGAAAGCTTATGCCCAAATAAATTTGTTAGTCTCTAAGGTGCCACAAGGACTCCTCATTGTTTTTTCAGTCTCTTCAGACACTGAATCTATGTCTTTTGTGGCCATTTTCCTCCAATTTTCCTATTGCCCTTTTAAGGCAAAAACTAATTTATGCTGTTTTTTCCTTAAATAATTTTTGCTTCTTGATGTCCCTTTCCTCTGGGTTGATTAATACAGAAATTTTGGTGCCTTCACAGACTCTGGGATGTTTATTTAGCAGAATTTTTATTGGAGTAGCCTTGAGGCTCACCTCAGGTGCATTCTTTCAATCTAGGCACATACTGGAAAAAATGGTTACTTTCCTTACAGTAACTGTGATTCTTCAAGATGGTCTGTGCATGTGGAATCCACTCATGGCATGCAGGTGCCCCTACACAGGAGATCAGACATTTTTTCTCTAGCAATGTCCTCTAGGGGTCGCACATGCATATCCCTATCCTCTTGTGCTCCTCCTCCCAAGAGCAGAATGACCCCAAATACTAACAAATTTTTTTGTTGCCCTGAGTGTCAATAATAAAATACGATCTGCAGGGATGGAGGGTAGATTGTGGGATCCACATAAACAGACCATCTAGAACAGGGGTTCTCAGACTTTTGAAGTGGTGACCCCTTTCACATAGAAAGCCTCTGAGTGCGACCCCCCTTATACATTAAAAATGCTTTTGTATATATTTAACACCATTATAAATGCTGGATGCAAAGCGGGGTTTGGGGTGGAGGCTGACAGCTCGCGACCCCTCACGTAATAACCTCATGACCCCCTGAGGGGTCCCAACCCCCAGTTTGAGAACCCCTGATCTAGAAGAACCACAGTTACTGTAAAGGTGAGTAACCATTGTTGTTTCTTCTTCAAGCTCTTATACATGTGGATCCCACTAATGGTGTCTAGCAAGCAGTTCAACACCTTAGGGGGGAGCGAGGAATTTACTGGAACAAAGATTGTAGGACTGCTCTTACAATTCGAGTGTTCACTCTTGATGATGCCTCTAACGAGTAGTGTCTAGTAAGAATTTGAACTGAAGACCATGTAGCTGCTGTACATATTTCTATGAGAGGGAACATGTCATTGATGAAGTCAATGTTCTGGCAGAATGAGCTGAAATGTTTAAAGGAGGATTCAGTTTAATAATCTCATAAGCTACTCTCATACAGCTCACACAATCCATTTAGACTCTGGAAGATGCAGATTTGCCCTTAGCTCTGCCACTATATGCTATAAACAATCTAAGAATTGACCTAAAAGTCTCATTCTGTTCAAGTAATATAAAAGAGCTCTTTTAAGATCTAAGGTATTAAGCTTTATTTCTGCTGAAATTACAGGATCTAGGGGAGAAAACTGGTAGGTGACTATACTGGTTATTATAAAAATGCCAAACCATCTTTGGAACGAGTTTAGGACATGGTCTGAATGAGACTATCAGCATGAAAAACAATGTACGGAAAGTTCAACATAAGAGCTTGGATTTCACTAACTCTATGGGCAGAAGTAATATCTAATAAAGTAGTAACTCCAAATAGACAGCATTTCAGAAATCCAATCTGGAGATAAGAAGGCATGGTTAATTATTGCTATCTGAACATGGAGAAGCAGCTCACAATCCCACAGTATCTCCAAGTATCAAAAGGGAGACAACATCTCTCAGATGAGGGAGTGAATAAATATAGACTTTGCTATTTTCTTTTGATATTTTCCCCAGCGTACCAGTGTTCCCTCTACATTATTGGTGTTGTATTTCGGCATGCTAGCTCTTATCCAGGCCTAACCATAGTGAAGACACTGGGAAAGCTGGGACCAACTCTATCATCTAGGTATGATGAAAAGAGATATAGAGATGAGTGTCACCTGCAAACCAGATCCTGCATTCCAGGACACACTACTATTATTTTTAGTGGCCTCAGATATATATTGAACAGATGGGGTGACAACACTTGACCCTAGCCAAGAGAACTTTGAGGGCTGATGAATAACAGCTCTTGATCTTCTCAAACCGAAAAGAATGAAGTCACTCAAGAGCAAATCCTGAGCTTGCCAGATCCACACACAAGTAACAATAACTCAGTCAACTACAATCAAAGACAGAGCTGATACGTCTCAAAGAATTAGTATGGACATCTTTACTGCCAAAGGGAGATGATCGACCAATGCAAACAGCGCAGCCTCGATACTATACACAGATCTAAAATGATGCAGACAGTCAAGAAAATCTGAGGACCCCAGATATCACCAGAGTTGCTCTGCTACTATTTTCTCGGTAATTTTCAAAAAAAGAAAGAAAACACACAAGGAAATATGATAATGGGAGAGATTCTAAGCTCAACAGATGCTTCTTTAAGGTATACTGATACCATGTCCTCCTGAAAATAAATATTGATGATCTCCTCTGACAACAAATCTAGTATCTCTCTGCTGAACTTCCCCAGCCAAAGATGATATGGGTCTAAAATGACTTTTTAATCACAGTACAAAACAAGGACACACTTGTGGCAACATTTTGCATGAGTATTTCATGACCCTAAAGAGAAAGTTCACCTTAAAAAAAACGTGTGTGCAGATGTTGCTACTGCCAGTTTCTGACTGACGAGCAACATGTGTATATTTCTTAGAGTGGAGGTTTATTCCAGTAATTTAGTGTTCAGAATTCTGTTTCCCATAAAGCACCAAAACAAGTGTCTATAAACATTCAACTTGAGCAAAAGAACTGCTTTAGTAGTGTCTACACTCATTTGACTTTTCATTCCAAACACTGTTCATCACACTAGACACTTGTTCCATTGGATTATCTGCCTCCGTGGTAGCAGCACAGTGCCTGGGGGAGACAAATGCCAACAGTCCAATGGAACAAGTGTCTTGTGGACGCTGCTGAACACATACTCTTCAGCATTCAATGCAGCAATTGCTATGTGCACATCACATGGCTTCCTGTAAAGCCAAACAACTCTCTTAAATTATATTGGTAATTTAACCTCTATATCATAACATCCGCCAAGTACTGATCATTAAAACCACATATTTAAAAACAAAAAAAATCTCCCACCCTAATGGGGGAAGGAGAGAGATACAGTACAGAAATCTGTTCATTTTAATACATTTATAAGGTGCTGGCACTATGATGATGGTTGCAAGAACCTAGACAACCATCTATTTTTGATTATTAAGGGTCCAGTTGTGTCACACTTCCCAAGAGGATACTGCCATTGATTTTATTACTACTCTTATGAGTAAATCTACTTAATGTGAACAAGGGTGGTAGAATCAGACTGATAGTATTTAAGACGACACTTCAAAACTATTTTTATTGGTTTACTTTGTTTTGTAACCAAGTGTTACATATATTAGAATCTCGTTAATATTACACATTGGAACTCACTTTAAATGTTTATTTTGCTGCTTTAAAATAAAAAAAATATTGAAGGATGGGCATGCATTCATAGATTCTAGGGCTGGAAGGGACCTCGAGAGGTCATCGAGTCCAGTCCCCTGCCCTCATGGCAGGACCAAATACTGTCTAGACCATCCCTGATAGACATTTATCTAACCTACTCTTAAATATCTCCAGAGATGGAGATTCCACAACCTCCCTAGGCAATTTAGTCCCGTGTTTAACCACCCTGACAGTTAGGAACTTTTTCCTAATGTCCAACTTAAACCTTCCTTGCTGCAGTTTAAGCCCATTGCTTCTTGTTCTATCCTTAGAGGCTAAGATGAACAAGTTTTCTCCCTCCTCCTTATGACACACTTTTAAATACCTGAAAACTGCTATCATGTCCCCTCCTAGTCTTCTCTTTTCCAAACTAAACAAACCCAATTCTTTCAGCCTTCCTTCATAGGTCATGTTCTCTAGACCTTTAATCATTCTTGTTGCTCTTCTCTAGACCCTCTCCAATTTCTCCACATCTTTCTTGAAATGCAGTGCCCAGAACTGGACACAATACTCCAGTTGAGGCCTAACCAGCGCAGAGTAGAGCAGAAGAATGACTTCTTGTGTCTTGCTCACAACACACCTGTTAATGCATCCCAGAATCATGTTTGCTTTTTTTGCAACAGCATCACACTGTTGACTCATATTTAGCTTGTGGTCCACTATAACCTCTAGATCCCTTTCTGCCGTACTCGTTCCTAGACAGTCTCTTCCCATTCTGTATGTGTGAAACTGACTGTTTCTTCCTAAGTGGAGCACTTTGCATTTGTCTCTATTAAACTTCATCCTGTTTACCTCAGACCATTTCTCCAATTTGTCCAGATCATTTTGAATTATGACCCTAACCTCCAAAGCAGTTGCAATCCCTCTCAGTTTGGTATCATCTGCAAACTTAATAAGCGTACTTTCTATGTCATTATCTAAGTCGTTGAAGATATTGAACAGAGCCAGTCCCAAAACAGACCCCGGCGGAACCCCACCCGTTATACCTTTCCAGCAGGATTGGGAACCATTAATAACTACTCTCTGAGTACGGTTATCCAGCCAGTTATGCACCCACCTTATAGTAGCCCCATCTAAGTTGTATTTGCCTAATTTATTGATAAGAATATCATGCAAGACCATATCAAATGCCTTACTAAAGTCTAGGTATACCAGATCCACCGCTTCTCCCTTATCCACAAGACTCGTTATCCTATCAAAGAAAGCGATCAGATTGGTTTGACATGATTTGTTCTTTACAAATCCATGCTGGCTATTCCCTATCACCTTACCACCTTCCAAGTGTTTGCAGATGGTTTCCTTAATTACTTGCTCCATTATCTTCCCGAGCATAGAAGTTAAACTAACTGGTCTGTAGTTTCCTAGGTTGTCTTTATTTCCCTTTTTATAGATGGGCACTATATTTGCCCTTTTCCAGTCTTCTGGAATCTCTCCTGTCTCCCATGATTTTCCAAAGATAATAGCTAGAGGCTCAGATACCTCCTCTGTTAGCTCCTTGAGTATTCTAGGATGCATTTCATCAGGTCCTGGTGACTTGCAGGCATCTAACTTTTCTAAGTGATATTTAACTTGTTCTTTTTTTATTTTATCTTCCAAACCTACCCCCTTCCCATTAGCATTCATGATGTTAGGCATTCCTTCAGACTTCTCGGTGAAGACCGAAACAAAGAAGTCATTGAGCATCTCTGCCATTTCCAAGTTTCCTGTTACTGTTTCTCCCTCCTCACTGAGCAGTGGACCTACCCTGTCCTTGGTCTTCCTCTTGCTTCTAATGTATTGAAAAGTCTTCTTGTTTCCCTTTATTCCTGTAGCTAGTTTGAGCTCATTTTGTGCCTTTGCCTTTCTAATCTTGCCCCTGCATTCCTGTGTTGTTTGCCTATATTCATCCTTTGTATTTTGTCCTTGTTTCCACTTTTTATATGACTCCTTTTTATTTTTTAGATCATGCAAGATCTCGTGGTTAAGCCAAGGTGGTCTTTTGCCACATTTTCTATCTTTCCTACCCAGCGGAATAGCTTGCTTTTGGGCCCTTAATAGTGTCCCTTTGAAATACTGCCAACTCTCCTCAGTTGTTTTTCCCCTCAGTCTTGATTCCCATGGGACCTTACCTATCAGCTCTCTGAGCTTACCAAAATCCGCCTTCCTGAAATCCATTGTCTCTATTTTACTGTACTCCCTTCTATCCTTCCTTAGAATTATGAACTCTACGATTTCATGATCACTTTCACCCAAGCTGCCTTCCACTTTCAAATTCTCAATGAGTTCCTCCCTATTTGTTAAAATCAAATCTAGAACAGCTTCCCCCCTAGTAGCTTTTTCAACCTTCTGAAATAAAAAGTTCCTGACATAATGAAATATTTCAGGCATTCTGCTTCTAGTACAGAATGCTAGATTGAATTATTTCTGGTTTTTATCCTACAGAAATTATGTCTAGATCTTATCTAAATATTCTGCAAGCTTATCAAAAAGATGGCTCATTTACACCTTTACTTTCTTCCCAGGACAAATGGATGTGCTAAGACATGCGGAGTAATCACAGACCTAATAGAGTACAATTACCAATCTCTGCCAGATCTCACCTCTGTGGAGATGGACAATGTCATTTTCACTGGGTGTAGGCCAAATTGGTGCTTCTAGTTCAGCATCTCCTCGATGATTTGTCTTCTCAATGGGGATGTTGGTGGGCTCAGGTACATACATCTCTGCAAGATGAGATAAATATTTTTCACAATCCACCGAATCAGCATTTTGCGGTACCTATCAACGGATGCTGGGCTCTTAATTCAGAAAATATTTCTTGTGGATTGTTGTTCTTATTGGTGGTTCAGGAGTTATCATTATGGTTATAGAATTTTTTATCTGCTATGACATTTATTTACTGAGTACATTTAGAAAGTTATTGTTTGTGCAATGGATTTTCCTATCTTTTAATTAATTTCATAAAGTACAGAATACCAATGGTTGCTACCAGTACTACTATGCCAACGTAAACTGAATGGGACAGTCCTGTATTAAATTTTTCAAGTAAAATATCTTTTCATAATACATAATATATTTGGTAAGATTCTCTAGTACAATTTGGTCCCTTTGTGCTGCTCTAGTGGCATAAAAGGCCAAGAAAGCAGCTGGATCTCTGCAGCTGGTGTAGGGTTGCATGACTGGCTCCTATTACCAACTTTTTTGCAGCCCCCTTTGTACGGGCATGGCTGAAGTTCTCTGACTGGCAAATAGCCTCTTGGAGGTTAACAGCTTGCATAGGTAAGAACAGCTGTAATGAACTGCTATAAGAAGCCAGGCCAGATTCAGAAAGCTGCACCAAACTTCTTTGGTTCCATTATGTGCATGGCTGAGAAACTATCCCATTACATGTAAGTTACAATTAAAAGTACTCATATAAGCAACTTAAAATGTTATTAATAAAAATAATTTGAAACAATATCCCAGATTTGTGGAGCACCAGAAACATTAGGCAACAGTAGAGTCTACAGAGGAATCAAAATATTTCCTCTCACTTCACAAATGCATTTCATTTATCTAATAATTTAATGAAAGGTCATTCAGAGAGAACAATGGCAAAACAGTTAATCTTTGAGTTAACAGTCCTTCCCCAGAACATGTGAAATTTGAACTATACTGTTGTGCACTACTTTCTTATCTGTAGTGAGTATGCAGTTTCCTGAGTTGTTCTCCTGTGTCTCTCTGTCTCTTATGACATAAGCAACAACTCCTGTTATCCTTTGCATATGTTGCTCAATGTGAATCAACATTCAAATCGAGTACAATAATCTGTGCCTGATTATAGCCTCTGACAACAGTATAACTTGTAAAATTTAGGACCATGGTTTTATTACCTGGACACATGGGACAGCAACTTCCCTCAACGTTGATGGGTTCTACACAGGGGAGAGGGGGGCAACTGACAGTGGAGCAAAGGGTCTGACCCTGCAGGCAGTAGCAGTGTGTGCAGCTGTCAATGTCCCAACGTTCCTCATCTGCATATGTTTTTCCACTAAAGTGACACACCACCTTCTTTGGTATTGTATCTTCTGTTGAAAAAAATAATTGCTATGATGACTTGATATGGCAAAATATAAACATATTAAAAAAATCCAATGATTTCTTAAATTTCTTAAAAATTTAAACCCATATCCATTGACTACGTAACGCATAAGTTATGACAGTAAAATGTGAAAATACCAGACGCTTTGCAAAAATTTTGCAGTTTCATTACCAGTCCAGTTTCATATGTACAAGCAAAAAAAAACAACAAAAAACAGAAAATTTCACAATTTAATATTGTGTTAATTAAATTCAACATATTCCCATTCCTCTTTCAGTTACCTTGCATGTATGCATCAGACCCATTTTGACACTAACAGAGTGCAATGTTATAGACAAAACAAATATTTTATAAGTAAAACACTAACAGTATTAATATTTTCACAATAAAATAATTGCTCCATTTTCAGTGATACGAGTTTGTTTTTCTTCCACTTTGTGAGAGAATTAGAGTGTATGAAAATACAGATAATTTTCCAGGTTACCTTTAAGAATAGGTTTCACTTGATATGCATCAGAAACTTAGGAGTTTAGGCACTGTTTTGATTATTTTAAGATTTTTCACACACACACTGTTAAAATTTAAAATTGATAAAAATTAAAAAATGCTGAAAAATAAACATCAATATTATCCAGCAAAATGATAAAAATAAAAATTGAATGTTGCCAAACAAAACCAAAGGATATGGCATTGCACAGAGTGCTTTGGAGGGAGAGGACTCAGAGTGGATCCCATTTCATGGAATTAACACAAAGAAAATGTTGAAGAGCAGTGATGCTAGAGCTCATGAATTGGTAAAGTAAATGAGTGAATAGAAGTCCTAATGAAGGATTAGCCTCAATGTTTTTTTCATTCATGTGGATTCCATCTCAACTGAAACTTGAACCAGGAGGAGACAGATGGAGGCCATTGCTCCTAGGTCAGGAGTCTTCGGGTACGTCTACACTACGAGATTAATTCGAATTTAGATAATTCGAATTTGGGAAACAGATTGTATAAATTCGATTGTGCGCGGCCACACTAAGCACATTAATTCAGTTTTTAATCACATTAATTCGGTGGTGTGCGGCCACACTACCCCATTAATTTTAACCACATTAATTCGGTGGTGTGCGGCCACACTACCCCTAATTCGAATTTACAAAATCGATTTTGGTGCTACTCCGCTCATCGGGGTGGAGTACAGAAATCGATTTTAAGCGCCCTTTAATTCGAAGTAACTGGCTCCGTTGTGTGGATGGGTTAAGGATTAATTCGGATTAACGCAGCTAAATCCGAATTAAAGTGGTAGTGTAGACCAGGATTTCAATGCAGTGGGAGCTGGGAAGAAAGAAGCAGTAGGGGATCCATGTTCAAAAATGCAACCCTACCTTCCGATGATGAAAGTAAGCAGGAGCGGTCATGAAAGATGGGGTGCACAGCTCCAACTACCTCTTCTCACAGCTTCCATTGGCCCCAGTAAAAGACATTTGTCTGAACCAGCCATTAATCAAATGCACAAAACCATGCCAAAAATAAGCGCAAGACAACCTTATTTATCTTCTCTCTCATCTTATAGCTCTCCATTTCTCTCCTATAAGCAAGAGGGAGGTTCTCAATGGGAAATAACAGTCTCTCTACATAAGAAAGAAGAATGCTTAACATGGAAGGTGAATTTGGGAAAAGGGCAAGATGTATGGAAAAAGTAATAGAAAAGTCAGAGGAAAGGATGCAGGGCCTGCAAAACTTGTAACTATACTAAATATGGATGTCTAAAAGCCATCATGCTCTGGATCCAAAAATAAAAATGATGAAAAACAGAATGTGGAACCTCTGCTTTGAGAGTTCCAACAATTGAGGAAGATACTAACCCTGCAGATTTTGCCTACCAAATTCTCTCTCAACTGTGGGATAAAAATACTAAGGAGGACTGTACAGCAAGAGATGCTTTAGAGAAGTGCTCAGGAAGTCATCTAAAAGCAGAATAACAGGAAGCATGTGAAAGCCACATTTTCAAATATAAACAAAGAAAAGCTACTGAAAGCTGCCAAAAAGAGCAAGACATATTTTATAAATGTTCCAGGTTTTTGTTTTTCCCAGATGTCTGCCCCACCATTCATACTAGTAGTAGTGAGGAAGGAATTTGGAAACAAAAGGAACAAAAAAATTTCTATACAGTCTTTTATATAGCCAAACTTCTATATTAGGGAACTTTATGTTAGTGAACATGCTCCTAGAGTCCGTGAGACCAAGTAATTAATTGCACACACAGTGCAAAGAACACAAAATAATGGAAAACAATAGAAATATATTTATCTACAGTCTCCATAAAAAACACTTTCTGACAGAAAATATACTATAGTAAGTTGGTATGAGAAAATAAGTCATCACTCGGAGACTATGTTTGAGCAGTAATTGAAATTTTGCTTTTATATTGTGGATTGAATTGTTGTTACAAAAAGGGAAATTAGCAGGTCATAACTGCTCTCAAATTTAGGTATTTGCAACCGAAACAGAGGAACATTGTGTTAGTACATAGGAATTTGAAAGTAAAATTGACTATGAAGTGACAAATTAAATTAAAACTAGCTAGACTATTTCCTTTGCCAAGATAAGAGAAACGTAAAAAGTTTACAAGCAGCATATATAACAAAGAGTAACTTAGATACCTAAGTATCAGAGGAGTAGCTGTGTTAGTCTGGATCTGTAAAAAGCGACAAAGAGTCCTGTGGCATCTTATAGACTAACAGACGTATTGGGTAGCAGATGGCAAATGATGATTTCTTTAAATGGCTCTGCTTTAGCTGCAAACAAACTACAATTTGGGGGCACCTATGCAGAAATATCATGCCATGAACAAGGTGAAGTGATACAGTCCTTTGCATGGCATTGGTCAGAAAGCACTTACAATATTTTAGTCAGTTTTGTGACCCTCATTTCCAGGAAGAAGTGGAGAAAAATACAGAGGGAATTCAAAGAAATGCAACAAAAAATTGAGGGGCTGTAGGAACTGATGTTTCAGCAGATATGGCTCATTTTACCCATCTATATAAATAGGTATAATAATATTTATCTCAATCATAGGGGTATGTTGAGTGTGGTTTTGAAATATTTTGATACTTAATAACAATACTATTAATATATAGCACTTCACTTCTTCAATTTGCTGTAGAACATTAGGTAATCCTTGAATATAAGGTGTTATAATGTTTTATGACATACAAAAATTAACTACAGCAAAAGTATGTTATTTGGAGTGCAAAGTTAAGCACTGAAAAGATGGAAATATCAGGTTTACAGTTGCCCTTCAGATTTCTAGTGCTTGAGTTACAGGTCTTACTATCTTGGCTAGCAGCAGGAGAAAGCTGTTATTTGGAAGGGAGGGATGGGCTGCTAGGACCAGATACTGGGTCTTGGAGGGTGGTGGTGGGAAGCCTGGCCCATCTCTCTCTCTCTCCTCTTCTGCTTTCCCCATTTACCATATGGAGTTCAGGGATATCCAGCCACATCTGGTTTTCCCCAAAGCGGGGGATGGCCCCAGCAGGCCATTTGCTAGATCTAAGATAGTTGGAGGGAGCCTAGCCTGGCTCTCCCTTGCCCAGTTGGTCCAGCAGCTTCCAAGCATTTTTCTCCAGATACAACTTGCATTTTTCCATGTTGACTCATTTTTCTAGCTATATTTCTAACCTATTTTTATTCCTTCATAAAATGTCTCTATCCTCTACGAGTTTTCACAATAATTTAGCATTATCTACAGTTGTATTTAATATGCTGCTTATATCCTTTTACATATTATTACAGAAGATATTAAATACAACCATGATGGATTTCTCTTTAATGTTTTCATCAACTGTGATAAGTGACCAAGCTGTAAATTTTCAGAAGGGTGGTCTCCCATTTTTGGGTGCAAACTGCATCTGCATTTTTGTCCTACTAATTACCTCATTGTAGGTTCAAATCAGGTAGCTAGCGATTCAAATACTCAGATTTTTGCAGGCACAAACTGCACCAACACAAAAGGAGACTGTACCTCCGACTGACTGAAAATATCTCTCTTTATTCTTATTCCCAAGCAAAACTATTTTGTTTATTTGCTTACCTATACAATAAGGACAACACTGTCCTTTTCTCAAAACAGGTCTCTCACAGGATACTGGTGGGCAAGATTCAGAGTAGCAGCTAATCACACCATCCATGCAAATACAACTAGTACAGACATTGGGTTTCCAGGACTCAGCTGTCAGGAAAATATCTCCTTCATCATTTTTGCAGTAACTGGGCATGCTCTCGTTGCTCGATGAGGAAGGCTGAAGAGGTTCATCTAGAAATATGAATAGACAGATAAGCAGAAGTAAAGAACGGTTACTTACCTTAAAGTGACTGTGATTCTTTTCAGATCTTTTGTCCACATGACTCCACAATTGGTTTGCATGCATTCCATCCAAGAGATTGGATTCTTTTGGCCAGCAGCGTCCAATGGGGCTGCACCTGCGCACTAGATGTCCTTGCGTCTCCCCACCCGAGGACATATAGGATGGAGTGGGCCTAACTGTTGCTTAGTTCCTTCACCAATACAGAATTCCAGAACAGTAGGACTCCATAGTCACAGGGAAAGAAGGCAGGTCATGGTACCCATTTGGAGAACACATTTTGAAGAACCACAATTACCATAAGTTAAATAACCATTCTTTCTGCTTTGAGTACTTGTCCACATGGATGTCTGTTTGATGACTAATGGGCAGTTGTTTTTTGCTCAGGGGTGGGTGCTACTAGTCCTACTTCAATAAAGGCTACAGGACAGCCCTATCACAATAGATATCCTATCTGGAAGCCTCTGCGAAATGTGTGGCCTGAGTTCCATGTAGAGTAAGTGAGGATTTTTTTCTACTGACTTTGAGTCCCATTTTGGCAAAGGTTATTTGAGTCAAGTTGGTCACCTGCTGGGATGATCTTCCCTTCCACGACCTCTTATTGAGATATTGGCAGACCTGAATCCCTTGTGTCCTTTGCCTAAAGAAATAAGGCACTAACCGTGCCTATTGTTGAAGAGCACAGAAACATCAGAGGAGGGACATGTATTAAATTCCAGAGATCCAGAGATTTTGCTTCTGCCTTAGCAGATCGAATCCCAGTACCTGAGAGAAGGAGGGCTGAGCATTGAGCCTACTAACTACCTAAGGAAAATTAGTAAAATAAAATACAAAATTTTCTCTCATTTTTTAAGCCAACAGGCCAACTAAGAGTTAACTAACTACCTTCAACTATACTAACTAATCACTAACTCTAACTGCAACAGAGTCACAGAGAAGCAGGTGAACACTGCAGAGGTTTCATCTCCCTGCCATGGCTGCTAAGAAGGAAATGAGGGGCAGTTAGGCCTGCTCTGCCCTTTATGCCTTCTGGATGGGGGGGGGGGGTTCCCTAATGAAAACTGCTGGCCAAAGAAGTGGGATGTTGCATGCACTTGCACCAAGAATTGGGTTCATGTGCAGAAATAATCAGAGAAGAACAAGGCAGTGCCTGTCACTACAGCAGGTCAAAAAAATTTGCTGAAAAATTGACATAAAAAAATGAAGTTTAGTCAAAAATAAAATCCCTCTTTCCCCCACCCTGCAACATTTATTTTGTAAGAAAATATTTGCGCTTTCATTGAAAAAACAGAAAATGAAATTTAACACCATTTTTTTTTTTGGTTTTCAGTTGGTTTCATGTTTTCAATGAGAAACCAAAACTTTTTGTGGGGGAAAATATCACTTCCCAATTAGTTCTAATGTCCACTAACTTTGCAGTGTAACAGATATTCTCTGTAGAAACTCAAATGTATATAAGAACCCTATCAGGAATCAGGGCCTGCAGCAGAGCTAGTCTTTGGGCAACCTAGTGAGCACAGCTGGCTTGTTGTAGGTGGCCTGATTGGCTACACCACTGATAGATAGGAAGAGTCAGCAGACCAGCTCTTAAGCCCAGCAGCAGTTCAGTGGCTGTTCAAAGTATTTGCCAATGGTTGAAATAGCTCCTGTCCCTGCTTGTTTCCCAGCCTTGCTCCTGTCTTGTTCCTTCCTCCGACTCAGCCTTGCCCCTGCCTTGCCTCATTCCAGGTAACCCAGCTCTGACCCTTAGCTCTGATTCTTGTCTACTGACTCCTGCTCCAAGCACGAGGCCTGACTCCTGCTCCAAGCACGAGGCGTGATTGCCCATGTCTTCAGTCTCTGACAAACCCTGAGTTTGCTTTGCGAAACTGGAACTCATATTTGTTCATGGAGGAATCCAGGAGGTAGACTTTCCTGGCCTCTGTGCCTATGAAAATCTCCCCATGGGAACTTAAAGATAGTCTCCTAAGTCCATATCTGGACAGCTAAGTGACCTGACTTTCAGAAGTGCTAAGAAACCCAGAAGTGCCCCAGTGATGTCAATGAGAGCTGGTAGGTGTTCAACTCTTTTAAAAATCACCTATTGAGCTGCCGATATATAGACTTAGGAGGATAACTGTAGGCACCAGTTTTTTAAAATCTTGGCCAATGGAGGTTTGAGTAATTTGACACATCTTGGATAATGGGAGCTACAGGACCACTATTTCAGGGGTTCTCAAACTTCATTGCACCCTTCTGACAACAAAGTTACTACATGACCCCGGGAGGGGGGCAGAGTCCGAGTCCTGCCACTCCGGGCAGGGGGAAGAGGAGGCTGCAGCCCGAACCCCACAGTCCCAGGTGGGGTTGGAGCTAGGGCTTCAGCTTCCGCACTGGGTCCCAGCAAGTCTAATGCTGGCCCTGGCCACCCCATTAAAATTGGTTGCGACCTACTTTGGGGTCCCGACCCACAGTTTGACAACCGCTTCACTATTTGAACCAAAACTTTTGAAGTTTACCTACTTCTAAGCTCCTTACATTCTTTTATGTTAATACTCTTCTTTTCGCAAATCTCACAATTTACTAGTATTGGCAGACTTTGGGCTGGACTGCACTATAAAGAGCCAGCCATGCATTTGGGGAAGGAGGAGGATGAGAGAGGCTGCACTGCAGTTTGATCCCCTGGAGGAATTCTTGCTGACTCCTCAATCAGAATGATGCCCTGTAGTGGCAGCTCGGTCACCTTTAAAACAGGTGCAGTATGTGTTTCCGCTATGTCTGGCCCACTTTTCTGGCTGCTACAGAGGATTACAGCCCCTCAGTCCACACAGCTAAGGAAGGATGGTGGCACCATCAGCACAGAGCAGTGACTGTTTTTTGGTTACACTGTGGCTGGTCCCTGTATAAGGACATGAGGATTTGGGGGAAGGGAGGTTCCTTGTGACCTCTTTCCCTCTCTTCCACACCCATGTACAGTCAACCACAATCTAGTCCTTGTGTAACATGCTGTTTAATCTTATTCTCTCTTCCTTATCTTTTGTATGGGTATCAAATAAAACTAGGCCTACCTAAGCTAACTCTCTCTAATGCCAATGGCCATTTCCCCCTCATTTGAAATATTGCTGTTTATCATTAACCATTATGTTATACTCTATCAGCTGTTCTACAGCCAATTTTAATGAGTGTTCAATGTTAATATTCAAATAAAGTTTCATAAGGCATTATAAAACACACTTTACTAAAATCCACATAATATGTTTACTGTGCTCCATTTATCCACTAGTATAGGAAAACTTCAAAAACTTCATCAAATTTATCCAGCATGATTTGTTTTTTATAAACCCATTTGACTTATTGGTTCCATTAGCCTCTAGGTACTTACACATCTTTCTCTTTTCATAAATTACTGATTAAAGAGATCTATTAGGTTATCCCCCTGCCAACACAGTATTGTTATCTATAGTGTATTTGTGAGTGTTTTGTTCTGCTTGTTTTAAATGACTCAAGCGATGGGACTTCCATTACTTCCTATAGGAGACAATACCAATCTAATAGATATTACTGTTAGGAAATTTTTTCCTATCAAACTACACTTCCTTTACTCAAATCTATTCTATTTTCCCTTTTTGGCACTTATAGTCTTCTATACTTGTAGACAACTAGCCTAAACTCACTCACAGTTTGGCCAAGCTATGCATATTTAGCTCTTTTAATCCTTCATAAATCAGTCTCTTTGGTCCCTTATCCATTTTGATTACTTCTTCTCTGAATTCCCTCCAATTACTTTCAATGTTTCTTAATATTTCCTTCATTGTTTTAATAGGGATAGAAGTTAGATTTGCGAGACAGTATTTGTCAGGATTACTTCCTCATCCCCATCCAATCTTTTTGAAGACTGGGACAACGTTTGCACTTTTCCAATCCTCTGGTGCTTACCCTCACATAAAGTGAGTGCTATTGATAGCACTGCTCCTTACATAGAAAATATGCATCTATTACAGCATCTATTCATTTTTTTTTTTAAAAGTTCACAATGTTTTAAGCAGATATTGCTACAGAAGGTTTTGGACATCCTTCTCAAGAAACTGTCACGGATGATGGCTACAGGGATTGCTCCTGTGCAATCACAGAACCAGCAGTTGACTCTATTCAAGTCTACATATTTATTGCCAATTTCACAGGGTTTTTCAGAAGATCCAGAAAGGCCTATGCTGGTAACTGGTAGGTCATGCTTACCTGGGCACTGTGGACAGCACGAATCCTGCGTACGGATGGGGTTTTGACAAAGAAGAGGTGGACAGACTTCAGTCTCACACAGAACACGTCCACTATGGCATGTACACTGCGTGCAGGAATCAATATTCCATGTCTCTCCTTCTACAAAGTACTCTCCTCCTGGAGCATGGCAGATAGATGGACTGCTGAGCTCTGGCTTCTGCACAATAGATTCATCTAGGAAAAGAAGAGAATTAAAAGGCAAACAAATGAAAATATGTTGGGACTATCATCAATAAAATACAACCGTTGTGTATTACTTTTGGACTGTTATTTTGGATAATATAAATCATAAGAACAGTAACAAAGTCAAGTAAAGTTAGCTGAGAAAGCAGCTGTATAAATGAGATTATATGCGTATCATTATGGCAAAAGGTGGGAGAAATGAGACATCAGAGAAAGTAATACGAGACTAGACTTATTAAAAAATGCAAGCTAATATACATCCAAGAAGCCAATTAAACACGGGCACACAATGAAATAGCTGTAGAACAGGAGTTCTCAACCTTTTTTGAATCACACCCTGCCTTAGCAGTTTTTTAAAAACTTGGAGCACATCCCCTCCTCCTGCCTGGTCACTACAGTGAGAAAGATACAGCCTGGCACTCGGGCTCTCAATGCGACTCACTCAAATTTGCCCTGGATGGCCCTCTGTCTTACTGAATTATTAGAAGTTTGATGCCCTGCCCCCACCCCTAAGGGAGCATGCTCTCCTGTTTGAGAACCTCTGCTATTGAACATGGAAGTCAGTGATTTATATATAAATATTAAGTACTGGTGGGCTGAAAATTTAGATATGAGCTTGCAGAGAAACGTGAAGCCAAAAATATCAATGCAATTTTGGTCTATGTGCACTGAAGTGGGAGGCGATATTCCTTCTCCAGAGTACTGTACATAAAATGGTGTTAGAGTCTGATATCAGGAATTTGGAAGGAATTCTAAGAACATCTAAAATGATTAAGGAGGCTGAAGTGATATCTACAAGAAGAAGAGTATAAATGTGAAAGGGACAGAAAGTGTTCAGGGTGGTTGTAATAACTTGGACACAGAAGATGTCAGTTTATTAGCTCACAAACAATGCAATGCTGCAGATAGCCCCATGTCAGCTGTCCCACAAGCAGCTGCATCCCAAGAAAGGGATATTTCCTCTTCATTTATATTTTCAAGCCAGCCCTGTAGAAAAATTGGAGCATATGGAATAGCACAGGATCAGTCTGTGCCCATTTCCATATACCAGCTGCCTTCACTGGGGATGCTAATAATTTTTCCATGAGGACATCATCCTCCAAGAAAAGAGTTAATGGTAGGAACTTCTGGTAATGATACATGACTGCATTAGATCAGCATTATCTTATTTTATCCATGGCTTATGACTAATAGCATATCTGAATAAAGCTATTTGTCTCAGCAAGTAGCCTATTTTACATGTGGGCATTCTGCAAAACCGCAAACCAATCTAATATACAGTAACTTATCCAGGGCTTATCATCAAAATAGCATAACCAGGTAGCACTGCTCAACATCAAATTTTGCTTCTCACTCCCTTAGCATGGAAACAACTGTTGCAATTGAGTTACTGCAAAATTATGACAAGGCGAGGCTTATAATGTTCCTGAACCAGTACCTGGCTAGTCAAGTATGCTCTAGAATTGGTTCCTGAATACCTGATCATTTTGGAAGCCTTGCTGCCACACACACACAGAGAAGGGTGACACCCTGATTACTCTCCTATTCAGTCTCAGGGGCTCTGAAAAACACTCCAGCAATGGGATGTAATGACTTTTTTCTTCTGATTCCTTATTGAAACCTCCAGCATTCCATATCACTACTGCCATTTAATTTATCCTCATCATTAATATGTACAGACGCTCCCCGATTTACGCAAGCGTTCCGTTCTGGAACGTTTTAATACAATTAAATACCCGGTTAGACCAGCTTTGGGTAGATATTGCCTGATTCTTGCATTCCATCTACAAATGCTATAAGCAGACTGGGGGAGCTCCTGAATCGTCTTGTTCTGCCAAGGTAATATGAGAGAGCCCTAAGAACGCCAACAGTGTGCAGTTTGGCTTGCCTTTAGTTGGAGAGGGGCTTGGGAAAGAAATCTGGCAGGTGAACTATCTGATTTAAATGAACATTTGAGACTTTTTTGGTAAAACAGAGTGGGGCCTAGAGGGTCACTTTGTCTTTATGGATTACTGGTGAGGTGGACCAGCCATGATGGTCTGAATTTCCCCCACCCTTCGAGCTGATGTTATAGCTACTAAAAAAAGCTGTTTTCATAGATAGTATATGGAGCAAGTTGTTAGGGGCTCAAAATGAGGTCCCATTAACCAGGCTAAAACTATATTGAGGTCCCAGAAAGGAGGGGGGACCCAGACTGTGAGAGAAACATGAATGAGGCCCTTGAGGAATCTAGCAATTTGTAGGATGAGAAAATATGCTATGACCTTGGACAGGAGAAGGATGTGCTGATACTTCTGCTAATTGTACTCTTAAAGAGCTTAACGAACAGCCCTGAATGCTTAGGGATAGCAGAGAGCTCAGAATAGTACAAATCGGGGATTCTGTGGGAGACAAGTGACACTATGCTGTTCAAATTGGAACCTGCTTCCCTCTGACTGCATAGGTCAGTCTAGTAGAGTCTTTCCTGCTATGCACCAATATATTCTGGACTTCAGCTGAACAGCTTCTTTTGATCATAGTTAATCAGCTAGCATCCACACTGTCAGATACAATGATGCTGGGGTCTGGATATCCGATCTGACCTTCATTTGGGAGATCACGTCGGGTAAAACAGGTAATGTTATTGGGGGCTGAACTGACAGGCTCATTTAGGTCTGAATACCAAAACTGCCCGAGCCAAGATGCGGCTAACATGACCTGCTGAAACCTGTCTGAATTTCCTTAGGACCCGGTGGATGGGCATACATCATCCCTGGAATCCATGAGATGAGAAGAGCATTGGACAAGCACCTTGGGCTCAGATCTCCCCTTTTAACAGAATATTTAGCATTACTTGTACTAATCTGAAGCAAACAAGTTTACTGTTGGTCGGGTATGCCCACCCGTGTAAGATGCTTTGCAGGAGCGAGTCATTGGCAGTCCATTTGTGGTCACCTGTGAAATGCCTGCTGAGCTGCTCTGCTATGACATTCTGTATACCTGGTAGATAAAGACCTAGTGGCGTGATTTGGTAACAAATGCACGTGTTCCAGAGGCAAAATGTTTCTTCACAAAGGTGGGGGATGATCATGCACCTCCCAGTCTGCTGACATAAAACAATGCTATTGTGTTGTTTGTCATTACCTGAACTGTTAGCCCACCTAGCATGTGAAGAAATGCTGTGCATGTTAGACAAATAGCTCTAAGCTCTAGGATGTTTATGTGCAGAAGTCTCTTTGTGAGTCCAGAGTTCTTGGGCTTAAGTGTCCAGGTGAGCTCCCCAATCAAGCATGAAGGAGCCGGTCACCAGCATCTTGGTAGGCAGAGATGGAGAAAAGGGTATATCATGGTGGGGCGTCCTTCCACTAACTTAGTGATGAGAGGACTTCTTGGGTGAACTGCACTCTCGTGTCCATGTGATGTTTGTTGGGAAGATGCACTGATTTCAACCACCCTTGCATGGAGAGTAGGTGAAGTCTGACATGCTGTGTGATGTAATGCCATAAGACCCAGGATTCTGGGGGTACATCTACACAGCAAAAGAAGACCCTTGGCAGTGAGCCTCAGATCCCAGGCCAATTGATTTGGACTCGGTGGGTTTGCCCTGTTGGGTTAAAAATAGCAGTGTAGGCACTGAGCTCTCAATTATGGCATAAAACTTATTGCTGTAAGGTGGACACAGGATGTGTAGTAGAGGAGAAAAACGCTGAAGCCCTTCTGCATTGCAACCTCTGCTTCTTCCTTGGTGACTCTGATGATCTTTGTGGGTTGTAATAATAAGTGGAGGGCATTTGCGTAGAGTAGTTTTGTGACCTGACCTGCTTTCTCCTAGGGGCTGTCATATGGACTCCCAAAGAATGGAGAGTCTCTCTCTGATTTTTAAAGAGAGCTTAGGGCTTCCACAGTTCTTGTGTTGAGCGGTCACAGCCTTCAAATCCAAGGTCCTCAATTGCTCCCTGAACCTCCTTCAGTATTACTGAATATTGTAGCCATGAAGCCCTGCACATGGCAATGGAGGGTAGCCACTGACTGTGCTCTTGTGTAAAACACATCTAATGCCACCTGCAGTGATGGACAAGCTACCAACTGTCCCTCAGGTACAACAGACTTCAATTCCTCCCTATGTTCTTGAGGGAGTTTCTCGATAAATTGTGACACCTTGTTCCATTAAAGTAACCACACTTTGACAGGAGCAGCTAGTAATTTGTAGTGTGCATCTGCAGGCTTGCTAATGGGCAATTTTTCCTGCCAAATAAATTATTTTTTATCTTTGATTTTTTGAGTAATTTTAGGGGGTGATCCTGGAATTTTGGACCTTTCATGCACTCAGGACACTCAGGAACTTGGTGAGTGTGAAAATATTCAAACCTATTGGAAGGGACTTGGGTACCACAGATGCTAGGGTTTGCCATATTTTTTTCCTTGTTCTAAAAGGCCTTTGTTAATGGGCACAGCAGAATGCAGAATGTCCAGTAAATAGTGCAGGAAAAATCATATGACTCCCCAGGAATTTCTAAAATGTGCGCCATGCAATGGCTCAGTGGGAGAGAAGGACTCTATTGTCTGGTCTGATAAGGAAGAGGAGATTGCTGCTGGGATAGGATGCACTTCAGTCTGCACGTATTCTTCCTCACTTTCCTGCTCTTCCTGGAAAACAGTGCAAGTGTGTGCCAGCTACCTCTCTTAAGCTGTTCTATGAAGTTTCATAGGGGAGGGAGATCGGACTCTAATAAGGGGAAGGGTTGACTAGAGGCAGGCTTCCTCACTGGATGCATACCCCAAGTGTCTCACTAGAGCCAATATTGCATACGTTAGGGGTAAGAGGCTGGGGTCGTTGGGGGTGGATGCCAAGGTGAATATTCACCCCGAGATCCCATAGGTCTGCATCTGCAGTGATAGCTCCTAGATTCCCTGTATGTCAAAGAAGGGTCACATGAATCAGAACAAGGTGCGTGGGTAGGAGGTGCCCCCTCTACTGTGCTCTGAAGGGGAGGAAGAAAATGAATACACCTCCTCTAACAGTAGGACTTCCCTATCTGGAGTTCTAGGATGAACTTGAGTCTTCCTCCAGTACTGGAGCTGAAGAGCTTACTGGTACCATAACAACAGTGGTAGTTGGTACTGAGAAACAGGACACCAACAGCTGAGGAGAGGAATGGTGATTCAGGCTGCACTGTGTCCATAAGATTGCTCAGTAATGGACAGAATTTCAGTGCTGAAAAAGTTGATGCTGGGAGCATCTGCACTGCAAAGATCAGCACCAGAGTAATGGGCACTGAGGTCATCGGCACCACATGCACCAATGTCAGTATCGAGAGCAGTAACAGGTGAACTACAAGCTACTTCCTGACACAGTATCATGTGTGCTTGGTGACCACATTTGGTCAGGGTATCAGAGGGACCTGATATGGACTGTGACCTACCCTTTGGCTGAGTATTCTGAGGTGATATATGTCTTGATTTCACTAGGTCCCAGGGAGGGCAACATAGGTCTGTGCTCACTGAGGGAATGATGTTCCTTCCTATCACTTTCAAATCACTGGTGGAGAAGGACTGAGCTGTTTTACTAGCCTAAGTAGATGGAGGTTTAGGTCTCTTCAATGAGCGAGCATGGGCGCTCAAGCTGAGACACAGCTCACTAGAGTACTGATTGAAGATGCTTATTTAAGCCCGGTAGGCCCCTTTTTCTGCAGTTCTGAGGAGGCTCTCAGAGAGCACTCCAGAAGTAGTTTAAGACAGGCCTCTCTCACCTTCTGTGTCCTCTTGGAGAGGGAGCGACAGAATGAGCTTTTATCAGGGCTATGCCTCTCTTCAGGGCACAAAAGGCTTCTTGAGTATTAGCAGAATACCCATCACAGTGGGGACAAATTTTGAGCCCTGGGGACTTTGCTTCAGTCATAGAAGCCAAATCCTAGTACTAGGTAAGTCCCTAATACTAACATAAGCTTTAACTAACATCGTTTTAACTAATTTTAAGATACTAATTTAAATAGTAATTTCCACTCCTGTTATTTTGTTTCTTGTTTTTGTTTTATCTGACAAAGTAAAATATTACCTGAATCCTTTTAATTACTTGTTTTCTACTGATTTAGCATTTTATTACTATTAATATCATTATTACTTTGATGTTTACTATGCAATGCCACCTACCATCCAGTAACTCAGATATTAATTCATTATATATTAATATCTATTAAGGTAATAATTATTGCTTATTATATAAAATAGCCTCCTGTGAGCAACGAAAAATGAAATAATTTTATATTAAGTTAGATGGTGGGTACAAGTAAAGATCTTTCAAGTATTTTTAATGTGTAAATTCTGTTATAATTAAAAACAACATAGTAATTCTACATTATTTGTACTTAGCCTTCCTACCCAAAAAGAGAACTCAATCTTCCATTACAGGAGCAAACATTTCTGTTCTGCAACATGCAATCAGAATATTCATTTAATTAAGAAATCTGATTGAATGAATATTCCCATCAGACCCACTGAAACACTGCCATCAATAGATGACCATTAATGAAATCTCATTCTTAACTTAATAAAAATGATGACTATTTTGTAATGGCTTATCAGAAGATTTTCATATGACATCACAGCTAATAAACTGGAAACATAGTATTTTAGAATTGCAACACTTTTTACAAATATTAATGAATTAAACCTCACAATAGCCATGTGAAATAAGTATTCATACCTTTATTTTACAGCTGGGGAAACTGAACCATAGAAAACAAGAAAAATCACCCACGTTAGTTTCTGGCATAGCTGGGCATCAAAACCTGGTCTCTTGACTTGTAATTGTGCCTTAACTATGAGTGAGGAAATTTTGCACACAAGTGGGAGCACGGTTGATTTATTATATAATGTAGAATACAACATTTTACCTGGACACGATGGACAACATTGTCCTGGATGTATGGTAGGGTTGCCACAGTTAGGTACAGGGCAGGTGATCAAGGCACACATCTCCCGTCCATTGTGACAATAACATTCTCGGCAACCATCATGCCAGCTCTCCTCTTTCTCATGACGCCGCCCATCCATTGACAGGCAAGAGCCTGTTTTAACTGGTGGCATAACAGAATCTGGTATCTCTGCATAAAATGATCAGAAAATACGTGCCCTGGTCAAAGTGTTGCTTAGAAAAAAACAGTGCATACCTTCGTTAGATTTGTTTTTAAAGGGTTTATTTTTTAATTATTATTATTAGCTATTCTGTTTCTTTCTTTCACCCAGACTTAGAAATATGGTCAGCCTCAGGAGCACTTGAAACAAGCCTCTGCATGGTGTACCAAGGTGAAATGATCATGTATGCTGTGGTTAGATGCATCTTCCACAAGAAAGCCAGTAATCACTTCTATCTACTGATAATGCACTGGTCATAATCACATAGAAACTGAATTTTGGTTTGGCATGTCAATGCTGATAAAAACAACTTTGCACATCTCCTTATGACTAGGAGACAATGTGCTCTGCTTGGAATATCTTTCGAGTTGGATTGCAATGGGTTGGTGGTCACTTGCTTGGGATTCCGAGATAGGCATATTGCTGCTCATACAGTAGTGACAGCAAATATAAGATTACCCAAGCAGAGTGAGAGCAATATCAAAGAGCAATGCTCATAAGGTTGAATTAATCCCTGATGTAACTCCATTAATTTAAATGAAGTTACATCATGGATGAGTTTGGTCCATTTCTGCATTCTGAGTTCCTGGGTTGACCCCCTACACGCTCAGCCGCTACCCTCCCATTAGGAGGGAGGTGACCACAAGACCAAAGAGCCACCACTCTCTCTTCCAGTACCTCCAGGGATGAAAAGGGAATATCTTCAGCTTCCCTTCTTTTGATCTATAGCAGGGGTGGCCAAACTGTGGCTCGTGATCCACATGCGCTCTTTTACCATTAAAGTGCGGCTCGCAAGCCGCCTCCGCCCCCCACCCCCTGTTCTCTACCGACCAGACTTGGGGAGGTGGGGGGGGGGGGGAAAATGGAGAGCTCAGGACCTCTGCCCTTCAGTGGGGTGGTGGGGTAGAAGCGTCTGTCCAGCGGGGAGGAGGGTCTCGGGGCTTCAGTCCTGCGGGGTTCACCTGCTGGGGCTCGGGGCTTTATCAGGAGTGGGGCTGAAACCCCAAGCCCCAGCTCCTGGCAGGTGTGCTCTGGGTCTCAAATGTCTGAAGACTGTCATATGCGGCTCGGAGGGCAAGTAAGTTTTGGCCACCCCTGGTCTATAGGAAGATATGATTCCAAAGCACTTTCACAGGAGCTGGAGACTGGGTCCAGCATTCTCCTCAGAGATGGGAGAGAAACGGTTAAGAGAACCCTGGCATTCTTCCTCTACCCTCAAGACTCTAGTCTCCCCAAAGTACCACCTGTCTCCCTCCTCCACTGGACTATGTTGACACTCAGTAAAGTGAGTAACGTAGCATGGAAGCAGGGGAGGCAATGGGGATAAAGAGAATAAAGAGGAAGTGGAGGATTGAGTGATTGAAGAAAACCTTGGAGAGGAGGAAGGAAAAAAAAGGAAGAGGGGCAAAGGAAAGGAGAGATGGCATAAAAGAATGAAAGAAGGATTAACAAACATTAGAGGGGAAAATGGCTGTAGGAAAACACTTCATCTCAACCCTTTTTCTTGATGGAGGAAATGGTATGACAGGCTAAATACTAGAGGGGAAATTAAAAATGAAGGCAGGAAGAAAAGCAATGGCAGAAAACATAAGCAAATTTATTAGCAGAAAATGTAATATAAAATGTTACAATGAATATAATTTCCTATACATTATGTGAATTCATGGTAGTGGATAGTGTGACATGAGAAGTATTTCCATGAATGAGGTATGACCTTACATACTTTACAAGTGATAGACTGAAAAGAAGCCACAAGAGACTTATGACAGGTCATGCTAGTGAATGAAAATATCTCGCATACCATGAATCTGTTTTATATTTATTTGGGTTGTTTTGATTATTACAATATGTGATTTATTTTGAAGAGAGTTAGTAAATGTTGAAAATTGTTTTGTTCCTGGATTGTGCTGACTGGTGGGTGAGACTACGACAGTTTGTGTTGCTTTATTAGTTAGTGGATTGGGTAACTTTTTTTGACCTGGCTCCTGTGGCCAGGATAGACAGGGATGACAGACTTGTTCATGCCCTTCATGAGATTTGATGTTGCAGAAGGATTCAGATTCTGGGTTGGTTGGTTGGTTCTATGGATTTTTAAAAAATAAGTGGTTATGGTTGGAGTTCTGTGACTGGCTTTGGGCTGGGATATCGGTGATCTGACTTGCTTTCAGGTTCTACTGCTGTAACACATGTTTGCATGAGAAATTATTTATGTTAAATAACTTATTTTGGTAATCTCTTGCCTAAGTGATAGCTGCAATTTCTGTGTATTTCTTGTAGCTCGTTTTCAGCGTTTTTTTCAGCTTATAATAAAAGAAAATGGAGAGGTGTGTGAAAAGGAATGCTGGATTTTCTTTTTCTTTTTTTTTTGTAGCAACTGTCCTTTTTTGATAACATCTAGAGCAGTAATTCCCAAACTGTGGTGCATGTACCACTGGCGGTATGTAGGCCACAAACATGGTAAGTAAATTGGTCTGAAGTACATTATTAGAATAAGAATTCACTGTAGCTACACTACTTAAAGTAGTACAGCAAGTAGTTTTGAGATTTAGAAGTCGTATACTAAGTCTTTAAAGTCTGAGATCCACTGATACATAATGTGACAAGGAAGTAAGATATTTCAAAAAAAGGAAATAGTGCATATACCACTTGGTGATACTTTGAAAGATATACTGACACGTGAAGACCTTGGATGTGTATAAGAGTATCCTCCCCAAAGAAATTATTTTGGAAATACCTGTCACCTGATGCAATCTGGTATACTCCAAATGCGAGCTCCAGGTATAAGTCATTTCTAGTGGTGGTGATTTAGCATTCTACTTCAGTCACAGAGTTTAAGGCCAAAAAGTATCACTAGATAACCTAGTTTGGCCTCTTGTACATCACAGGCAATTAACAGCACCCAGCACCAGCACACTAAACCCAACAACCAAAATGAGACCAAAGTATTACAATCCGTAGGAGACTAGACTATTAAGAACCACAGGCAGAGAATAGGAAGGACAAAGGTGCACCAGTATTCCAGGCCCCTGCAATGGGAGGGAAATGATTAAATGAGATATACCCACATAATCCTGCCACATGACCCACACCTGCATGCTACAGAGGAAGGTGAAAAAATCCCAGAGTCACTGCCAATGTGACAGAGGGGAAAATTCCTTCTCGACCTCACATATGACGATCAGTTAGACTCTGAGCATGTGAGCAAGAAACAGCCAACCAAGCACCTGAGAGAGAGAATGCTCAAATGCCACCTCAGAGCCCTGGTCCTCCGCGCCTAATGTCCCATCTTCAGCTGTGGGCATCCCTGAAGCTTCAGAGAAAGGATATAAAAGAAACCCTCCAAGAATACACCGGGGGAGAGGGGGTGTCCCTTCCTGACCCCTGCTGGTGGCCGGATGAAACCTGAAGCATGAGCTTTAGGAACATAAGACATAAACCAGAACCAAGATGGTTGAGCTTTGTCCACTACCATCACAAGCAACCCCATCATACAATTGCACTCATAGGTTTGTCCAGCTTGCTCTTAAAATTAATTAAGTTGTTTGCCCCCCACAACTCCTATTGGGAGCCTGTTCCAGAACCTCACTCCTCTGATGGTTAGAAACCTTCTTCCAATTTCCAGCCTGAATTTGTTCATGGCCAGTTTATATCCATTTGTTCTTGTGCCAACACTGTCCTTTAGCTTGAACATCTCTTCGCCTTTCCTGGCATTTGCCCCCGATGTATTTATAAACAGCAATGATCTCTCCCCTCAGCTTTTATTTTGCTAGACTAAACAAGCCAATCTCTTTTAGTCTCATAAGATAGGCCCTCCATTCCCATGATCATCCTAGAAGCACTTCTGTGCACCTGTTCCAGTTTGAATTCATCTTTCTTGAACATGGGTGATCAGAATTGTACACAATATTCCAAATGAGGTCTTACCAATGCCTTGTACAATGGCATTCATAGTCCTCTCTCTCTACTGGAAATGCCTCAATTGATTCATCCGAGAATCACATTTGCCTGTGGTCATTCACTCTCCTTTGAGCTAGGCTAGCTCTAGTGTACTGACTGTTGCAGTGAAGACAACCCTTCTGAGTGGTCTGTCATATCAAACTCAAATCTATATAACTACTTCTCCTTGTACATTGCTGTATCTCAATAATGACCACTGACAACTCTAGTAAATTCATTTTGAATTACAATATATTTACAATTGGATCCTTGCACATTAAATATTACACATTTTTGTTTGATGTACTGCTGTGCATTTTTATTTTTTTTTGTCAAATTATTAAAAATTTGAGTAACCCCTCCCAAAAATAAAACTTTAAAAATCCCATTGAATCTTGCTGCAAATTTGCTGGCACACCTCCGGGATAACTAACCCCCAGCTCACTATAGCTCACAACTACACCAAAACCTGTTATAATGTCCTATAAATCTAAACCTGTGATATCTGCATCACGCTTTAAAACACACAGTAACTTCTTTATTGTGTTTAAGTCACTTAGCTTCTTTGCAGGTAACAGTACTGAAATTATTACCCCAACATGTTCCCTTCCTCAAACTTACACTTAATTACTCAAATTTACTCTTAAGAAATTAAAGCTTCTTTTGCTTGGAATCCAACAGATCTTTAGATGGGTACACAGCTATATTTACCCTGGCTCTGTGTACAGTTTTGGGACCGCTTTAGTTGAGCAATGTTGTCTGATTAACCCTGCTATCCAGGTATAGTAATTTGCAATATGTATGGAAGCCAGAGGCTTCAACAGGAAGAAAATGGGCACAAATCTAGAGTAATCATAGCAGCAATGGCAGGAGTAATTTGCTGTGTGTAAGGGTAGATTGGAACAAGCTTCCTTTCCCTTGTTATCAACTGCTGAGTTAACTGCTATCTGGCCTTGGAGAGAAAGGCAACAGATTTTGTTGAAGGACACACTATAGGGCTGTCAGTTAGCTTGGGGTGCCTGGGTATTAAATA